AGTTTTGAAATCCCAGTCTATCCCTTCCCACCCTCTACCCCGCCCCCCCCATTAATGTCTTAAGTAGTAATATTTTCTTCTACTGTATCTTCAAGTTTACTGTTTACCCCCGTCATCCTGGTTCCCCTTTGCGATGCCTATTTGCAGAAGCTTGCATCTTTGCCCTCATAGCTTTAATCTTCTATCATTTTCATCCTTTTGTTCTTTTCCCTTGTTATCTTTGGAGTGCTGTTCCAGTTGGCCTTACATATGTTTGATTTGTTTGTTCTCTAATGTAGATTCCACCCTTTTGTTAGCTCTGGTGGACACTTCCGCCTTTGTAGTTACCTGGGAGTCTTGGCAATCGTTTCCAGCTCTTACTTTGCCTTTGCCTTCTCAGCGGTTTCTATTTTCATACTGGCCTTTTGTGCTTTCATTTCACCTTTCATTGCCTACTTCATAGAGTTTGTGTTTTCTTTATTTTTTGAGAGCCCAATTTTCTTTGGTCGCAGGTTTCGAGGTTTGCCACTCAAACTGTGGTCTCAGCACTGGCAGCATTAACCTCCCCAGGGTGCTTGTTAGAAATGTAGGTTTTCAGCCTCTGCTCCAGATTTACTGAATTAGAAGCTGCATTTTAACAGGACCCCCCATCCTGCCCCCAGGTGATTTGTTTGTATGACTAGGTGAGGAAGTGTTGAGAATCAGATCCGTGGTTCCCTGGAAGATGGTCCGGGGCTATGATTAGGAGCAGAGACTTAATTTTATTTGAATCTCAGCCTTGCCATCCACCAGTTAGGTGACTTTGTGAGATTTGGCTATCCTTTCCAGACTTCAGTTTCCTCCCCTCCAGAATGGGAATAATAACTTTTATTTTATGAAGAGGGTCTGAAAATTAAATTAGATAAGTATGTCAAGTGCCAAGCAGAGTACCTGAACCACCATTATTTGAAAAATAGCTGCTATATGATCAATTTTTAATGTTCCAAAACATTTTTATTGGTCATTCCATGTTCAGTTTTTTTTTTTCTTCCTAATTCATCCTTGAAAAAAAGAAACCTAGCTTGTGTTGGGGAGGAAGAAATTTTCCTCTCCCCTTCTAGGTTCTTCTGACTTGTATAAGAATTGACATGAGACAGATGAACAGGAGAAAATCAAAAGTGTAATAACATGTAATCATGGGAGAGACCCAGGAAAACTGAGTTACTCGCCAAAATGGCTGAAACCCTCACCTTAAATACCACCTTCAGCTACAGACAAAAGAGGACTTCAGGGGTAGTGGTTTGGGACTTCCAGGTGGGGGAAGGCAATTCACAGGAACATGGAAAAGCAAATGTTTGGTAACCAAATGTTTGCTGGGGCAGGCAGGGACACTGGGACAGAGAGTGGACTCTGATCTCTAAGAGTTTCCCCACCACACCCAACTCATATTCTTTGAAGTTACTTCTGATGATAGGTCTATTCCAGAAACAGACCCTTTATCTAAATCCCTTAGACAGCTAAGGGGGCAGTAGGAAGACTTCCCCAGTCTTCTGTTACTTAAAAATAATCAACCTAACTGAATCCTCATGCCAAAGAGACACATTTGTGGGGTGGCAACTTTTGCTCCCCTACGCCTCTGATGGTGATGCTACTCCCCCTGGTTATGTTTATGGACCAACAAGGGGTTGTCACAATTTCTGACTCAGATTTTAACCTGGGGGTGGGTGGGTTGATGGGTACAGCCCTTAGGCACATTTCTGGTATCTATAATCCTAAGTTCCTCGGGGGAATAGTTTTCTTGCAGAAAAGGTACAGCTCAGAACTGTTATCTCTCAGGTGGAAATGGGTCCTGGGGCCAATTACATCCCACTCCCACCTACTTCCTCTCTGACTCTGTCCCTTTTCAAAGGACTAGGAAGTGGTCAGTTTTCTAGTCAGACTCATCTACCCTACAGCCCTCAGGATTTCTCCCAGACAGCGGCAGGTCATTGATTACTCAGTTTCCAAGGCTTCTGTGAACTAAAATATCCTGTGCTCAGTGACATTCTGCAGGAATAATGAAAATGGAAACTCATTGCTGGCTTGCAACCATCACACCTGATGTATTTAACTTTGGGGTCGTGCTGGTCTTTGTAATTTGAGGTTTATACATCCCACACGTTAATACATTATTCATTGGGAAATCCTTAAACTGCCTTTACTAAGCCGAATTAAAATTTTCATACAACAGGTGATGAATGAGTATTTCAAGCCGTCACATATTGGGGCTACCTGTCATTCAGTGTAAGCAAGCAGTACCCTATGGGGCCTTTCCGGGACAGATCCACATCCTCTGCTTTAGCCCATCTCTGAAGTACCTGGATAATAGTATTTGATGCACAACTCCTGAGTTGTTTACAGATGCTAAAACCACCACCGTATGGAAGAAATTAACTACTTGATGATTATGAGCCCATCCACTGGGCACCTAAGGACTGATAATGTTAACCCTTGTAATACTGCCCTTTTACCTCAGCATCAGTCAATCAGAGAATTGTACAAGAGCCGCTCACATACCCTGGGATGCCCCACCCTCATCTGCCTTAAAAAATTCTTTGCTGAAACCTGTGGGGGAGTCCTGAGCTTATTGCTTGGTGCCCTCCAGTAAACGCAGCTCTTTCCTTCCCCGCAACTCAGTGTCCCTAGCCTGGCTTTACTGTGCGTGGGAGAACAGACCCAAGTTTGGTTCTTTGACATCAACAGTCAGGTTTGGAAGCAGCTCCATCTTTGCACAGCAGTGCTTATATCATTATTGGATGTTTTATTACATTATGTATTTATTATTTTATAAAAATGTCTGTGAGAGAAGTCTAGATCTCAAACTCAGTATAGATCCTTAGCATACTGAAAGCTGATAATCTGTAACTTTATTTGGATGCTCATCAGACTTAGACATGGAGACTATGTTAATTGTGGGGAAAATGAGTAAAATAATAAACATCTCCAAAATGCTGAAAATATATTGTTGAAGAATGTGTCAAAATGATCAATGTATTTTGAGTTTTCCTAATTTTTTTATATCTGTGGGAATTACATCCTCTTGTAGAGGAGGAAAAATAATAATTTTCCCTTCACTCTTCTAGGTTCTTGGCTGAGACACCCCCCCCCCCGGTAATAAAAGACAGATTAATTGGAAAAAAACAAACAAGTTTAATATCATGTATGCCTCGTGTGTCCCTGAGAGAGACCCAGGAAAACTGAGCAACTCTCCAAAATGGCCCAAGCCACTATCTTCAATACCATCTCCAGGGTAAGTGGAGAACCAGGTTTTCAAGGCAAAGCACAATAAACAAAGGTAAGGGTATTATGCAGATTAAAGTCCAAGCCTTCTCCATTGATAAGAGTTTCTAAAAATCTAGTCAGTACTAAGAGAGAGATACCCTTACATATGGAGATTTCCCTTATAACTGTTAATTGTTCTTATAAAAGAGCAACTTACGCTTGGTTTTCAAAGTTTCTCCCAAGTCTGCTGTGTTTTATTTTATTTTTTTAAATAACCTGCTTAAAATAATCCTTATTCCCTAAGAGGCATCTTTTTGGTGGCAAATTTTGTTCCATTTTACTCTTTTGTAATCTTACTGTTTGACTTTCTCACATTGGAATTTGTATACATTGTTAGGAAGATATTTTGTATTAAACTATGGGGCTATTAGGCTGTTATAGTTATGATGGAAGCATAATTATGATTGATTTCCTATTTTTCTCTATGTTTAAAAACTCAAAGGATAGCAATTCCTATTAATTAATAATCCTGTTATTCTTTTCCTCATAAATACGTGTTAAAAACAAACAATAAGCCCCAAACTGGAGACACTTGTGCTAAGCCCCATCAAGTCATACCTAAGCTAACTGCAGTTTCACCCTCTCCCAGTAGTGGCATTTTAAACCAGTCAGTCTGGAATTTCTTGGTCAGCCCTAGTGAGAAATGAATAAAGCCAATTAGATCTTCAAATTTACTCAGCTAAAAATTTTTTTTAAATATATATCAGGTGGATTGAATAATTTTTCTAGGCTATTGTCGGCACTAGAAAAATGACTGAGGTCTATAGGTATCATTCCCAGGGTATTATTAACCTCATAGCATTCAGGGAGCTACTAAAATAGTTCTTTGGTTACCTACAGGCTAATTGATTGTTGAATAGCTTTTACAACACCACAGCTTGTATTTTTCTGTTCCACTTGGTAAAAGTTATTTTCAGGTCTCAATTCCTGGCTGGAGAGTGTTTATTTTAGGGGAAAAGTGTTATTTTATTAGCCTTGATCCTAAATCTAAGTCTCTTACTAAGAACCTATGAAAGTTCCTGGTTTCCAAGAATATTTTTATGTTTAAATGTGATCTAAAGAATCCTGTTCATACAGTTTGGGATTACATGTGTAATGAGACAGATGGGGTTTTTGCCATAAACCTGCTGTGTGATGTTAGGAGGTCTACTGAATCTATGGGAGTCCTCATATGTAAAGAGGAACCTAATAGGGTTAATTAGGCATTAATCTGACAGGGCAATGATTGAACTAAACCAGTTGCACCTGGTCTATGATACTTTTTAGCAGGTCTTAGTATTCATAAAGTATTGACACATTTATTCATAAACTTCAGTATCATTAATAACTTTATTCTCAGAAAGCACATTTGATGTATTTAATGACTGAATTCAGTGATAGGATGTTGATGATAGACTGGTGGGTATAAGTGGGTTCTGTGAAAAGCCTACTTCTATGTCAGGCTCTGAAGGACGCACAATACTTTAAATGTTTTTCTGCACTATATTTTCTTCAAAATAGGTGAATCATTTTTGACATTTTAGCCTTTGGCTATTCTATGAATGCTCTACAAGCGATTAAATAGAAGCTTAGAAATACATACTATAGTAATTTTAGTTCCTATATTTATACTTTTGCTACATTTATACTTACCTGGGAATGCTGGAATGACCCTTTGAAAATCTTTCTGGATCGTTTGTTTGTTGGGAGGAAATTCTCCATTGGGGTCTTGCATTTCTGCACACCTGAGCAAAGGCATCAGCAGATCTGCATTCCATACAGTCTTGCAAAGGATGCTTGTATAATAAAAAGACTTAACAAAGTAGAGATAGTATCTTCCTCCAAAGCAGAGGGCAGACCTGCTTGCTTACAGGATAGAAATGAAATTCGTCTCTCTCCAGGGCAGATTTAGTAGCAGCCCCCTCATCAAAGGTTGGCATTTCCAAGTCTCAGAGTTGCTCACTGTACGTTCAGGCATCACCTGGCCCTCACAGCATCACCCTGTGGGTGGAACTGGGGCTTGGGGAACCAGCACAACTGATCTTAATCTGACTCCTGCTATTGCTGTCCTTTGTCTTTGGTCTCTGATCCGAGAGTCCAATTACTTCATATGTATAGAACATAGAGGATGGGGCTGGTGTCTGAGAAATTTTATCTAGTTACTCCTAACGTTTGCATCCCCTCCTCTAATCCCCCAGCAGGTGGGGGTAGGGGGCAGAGGGGACCAAAAGCTAATGGTAGGGCTTACTTCTGAGAGTTGCGTGACAATTAGAATGCTTGTAAAGCATTAAGGGCAGTGTCTGGCACAGAATAAACGTTCAATAAAGCACAGCTATTTTTCTATTAAAGAGCTTTGGATACATTTCCCCATGGTTCATCTGAGAATGGCTTTGGTTTTCTCTTAATTGGTGAATGCTTGTTTCCATTGATTTGAGTAGTCATTTGAAAATCAGCCATAACTGACCCTTCGGGAAATAGCTCTAAATCTTTTATGTATAAAGCTGACATGGTACCCACCAGTGTAGTGCATAGTATAAGGCAGAAACTCAATAAATATTAGAGGTGATGGTGATGGTGATGGCAGTAAGTGTTATTTTCCTCTCTATCCAAACTCATGTACCTCAAATCTTAACTCCATTGCTTAGCCCAGCTCTTCTCCACTTGCTGGCTATACATACAATTTAAAGTTACAAAGCAGATAACATTAAAGGAGCTTAAATTCAAAATGTGGAAGATCCTATGCATTTGAGGGGGCAGGTGGATGTCAGTTTTTCTTGTGTTTATTGCTTTATCTGATGATGTCAGATAAGCAAAATGGTGATGTTGGAAACTAAATGATCTTAGTTTAAGTTTCAGCATTACTATTTAATTAGTTATGAAACCTTACAAATTTCCTTAATCTTTTTTCTCATCCGCAAAATGTAGAAAATAATAGTATTGACCTCAAGGAATTATTGTGAAGATTAAATGAATTAATACTTCTAAAACACTGAGAACAGTGCTGCTTTCATGGTGTGCACTCAAGGAATGTTGTCTTATGAATACACTATTGCCTGTCATATAGGAAGGCAGGAGAGAGGCTCTTTTGTTGGTGATGTTGATGTTAACAAATTACATCTCAACAATTTATGGAACTCAGAGCAAAGGGAGATACATTAGCGGGAAAACTCTTATTACTTCGTTTGAAATCAATCACTTTGTATGGTATTGTGTCGATTAAAATTGAATTTGACTGTAAGAAATAGAAAGTCCAACTTTTATGACTGAAATAGAAAGTTCTACATCTCTGGAGGCCAGAAGCTCCTGGCATTGGTTTGGCAGGTCAACTATGTCAAGGCCTGGTATGTCTTAATTTCCCTAGGCCCTTCGCTCATGGCTACAAGATGGCTGCTACAGCTCCAGGCACTGGGCTATATTATAGCCAAGGCAGAAAGAAGGAGGGAAGAGTGGTGCCAGCCTTTTGTGCCTATTTTATCAAGAAATCAAAATCTTTCTTGGAAACCCTTTAAACAAATGACTTTTTCTGTCTCATTGGCCAGCATTATGTGACATGGCCACCACTGGTGGCAAGGGAACCCAGGAAAGCCAGTTAGTAGTGTTCCCAGTGTGTAAGTGTGAAAACAACAAGTGATAAGAGAAGGCTTGTTGGGTCATCCAATTAATGGTATTGGTTTCAGGTAGTATTTGGAATTTTTCTAAAGGAGAGCATTTGATCTAGCAAACTGCAGATTCTATTGAAAGAACAGTCTGACTGATTCCGTGATTATCCATGAAAATCAAAATGTTAGTTCTGTAAGGAGCATTTAGTCCAACTCTAGCGTTTTAATAATGTCTGGCATATTAAGCAGTAAATATTTGGCTGAGTAAAAATAATCAGAAAAACAGAAACAAAAAATGGCCCTTCCTACTGGGTAATTGTATTAGTTATCTATTGCTATGTAATAAGTTACCCCAAAACTTAGAGGCTTAAGAGAATAAATATTGACAGTTGACCTTTTGAATAAGACAGGTTTCAACTGCACAGGTCCACTTATACATAGATTTTTTTCAGTATAGTTGACATTTCTTATCCGGGGGTTCCATATCCACGGATTCAACCAACTGCAGATGGTGTATTGTGCTGGTTAAATCTGCAGATGCAGAAGCCATGGATGTGGAGGACTGACTATGGGATTTGAGCATCTACAGATTTTGGTACCTGTGGTGGTCCTGAAACCAATCCCCCATGGATACCAAAGGACAATAGTATCATGTCATAGTTTCTGTGGGTCAGGAATTTAGGGACTACTTAAGTGATGGCTCTGGCTCAGGATCTCTGCTTAGATTGCAATGAAAACATCAGCCAAGTCTTCAGTCATCAGAAGGCTTGACTGGGGCTGGAAGATCTCCTTCCGAGTTCATGGAAGTAACTGATGGTCATAAACCTCTGTTCCTCACCATGTGGGATGTACGGGAGGAAAACATTTCCCTTCTTGCATCCTAGGTTCTTTGGCTGGTATAATAATTAAATTGACTGAAGACACATTAATAGGGAAAAAACAAATGTAACTTTGTACATATGGGAGCCTCATACAGATAAGAGAGGGTCAAACACAGTCAGGCAACTGAAGCTTATATGTTATCCTGAGTGAAGGAGGAGGGGATGGGGTCTGGGGCTGAAAAGGGGAGGAAGACAGTTCACAGGAAGATGAGACGAGCAAGTGTTTGCTTCATTGTTTGTCAGGCCATGCAGAGACAGTGGGACACACAGAGGACTTTAAAGAAACAGGCTCTGCAGCCCTCCCCACGGCTTACCCCCCCCAACCCACACTCCTTGTAGCTCTGTCTGGTGGTAGCTCTCTTCCCGGACCAGGACCTCTATCTAAATTCTTCTGTGCAGTTAAGGGGGAGGTAAAAAGCTCTTGTTGAGTCTGTTGGACCTTGATTATCTTGATGTCAAAATAATACACATGCCAAAGTGGCACATTCTGGGGTGGCCCGCACAGAATC